TTTTTTGAGATGGAGTTTCGCTCTTGTTGCCCAGGCTGGAGTGCATGTCATGATCTCGGCTCACCGCAACCTCGGCCTCCTGGGTTCAAGTGATTCTCCTGCCTCAGCCACTGGAGTAGCTGGGATTATAGGCATACATCACCATATCTGGCTAATTTTTGTATTTTTAGTAGAGACAGGGTGTCATGTTGGTCAGGCTGGTCTTGAACTCCCATCTCAGGTGATCTGCCCACCTCGGCCTCCCAAAGTGCTGGGATTTCAGGTGTGAGCCACCACTCCCAGCTGGCTAATTTTTATTTATTTATTTATTTATTTATATTTATTTATTTTTATAGAGACAAGGTCTTGCTGGGTTGCCCAGGCTGATCTCAAACTCAGGCTCAAGTGATTCTTCCTCCTTGGCCTCCCAAAACTTTGGGATTACAGGTGTGAGCCACTGTGTCCAGCCCAAAGCACTCTCTTAGTGCTTTGGGCTGGATGCACTATCTTGTAAAGAGGCCCCAAGGAAACAATTTATAGGAACCAAAAAAAGACATTTGACATAGTGTGATTGAAGATAGTGACTGAAGAAAGATAAAAACCAATTAACATTTATACCCCGTCTCACGAAGACCGCTTGATAAAATGGATGCATGAAGAAAACTACTAAAAGAATACGTGAATGGGGAGACGGCAGGGACATTTCCCTTTGCAGATGCTGCTATTAACAAAATGTAAATGAATTGTTTCAATACGTACCGATAACACTGAGCTTGAGAGGGAAAACAGAGTAGGCTAATACAAGACTGTTAGGTAAAGCCAGTGCAGGGGAAGTTTGGACTTTTGCCCTGTGGCTTTTAGGGGAAACTTTTTTGCAATTTCCCAGATGGACTAAGGAGAAGCAGTTGATGTGAAAACCCTAAAAACACCTCCTCTTTACAGAATTCATTCAAACCAATCTGAGGCTAAGTAGAGAACAATGATGAAGGGGCATTTTCTTCCTGACAGCATATGATCTTCCACACTGTCAAGTTGAGTACAGTGGATGGCCCTTTGGTTAGGAAGAATTAATATCAGTAAAATGGCCATACTGCCCAAAGTAATCTTCACAGAACTGGAAAAAACCACTTTAAACTTCATATGGAATCACAAGAGAGCCTGCATAGCCAAGACAATCCTAAGCAAAAAGAACAAAGCCAGAGACATCACATTGCTGGACTTCAAACTATACTACAAGGCTACAGTAATCAAAACAGCATGGTACTGGTACCAAAACAGAGACATAGACCAATGGAACAGAACAGAGGCCCCAGAAGCAACACCACACATCTACAACCATCTGATCTTTGACAAACCTGACAGAAACAACCAACGGGGAAAGAATTCCATGTTTAATAAATGGTGTTGGGAAAACTGGCTAGCCATGTGCAGAAAGCAGAAACTGGACCCTTTCCTGACACCTTATGCTAAAATTAACTCCAGATGGATTAAAGATTTAAACATAAAACCTAACACTATAAAAACACTAGAAGAAAATGTAGGCAAAACCATCCAGGACATAGGCATAGACAAGGACTTCATGACTAAAACACCAAAAGCAATGGCAATAAAGCCAAGATAGACAAATGGGATCTAATTAAAATTCAGAGCTTCCGTACAGCAAAAGAAACCATCATTAGAGTGAACTAGCAACCAACAGAATGGGAAAAAGTTTTTGCAATCTACTCATCTGACAAAGGGCTAATATCCAGAATCTACAAAAAACTAAAACAGATATACAAGCAAAAACAAACAACCCCATTCAAAAGTGGGCAAAGGATATGACCAGACACTTTTCAAAAGAAAACATATATGAGGCCAACAAACATGAAAAAAATGCTGATCATCACTGGTCATTAGAGAAATGCCAGTCAAAACTACATTGAGATACCATCTCACGCTGGTTAGAATGGCGATCATTAAAAATCTTAAGACAACAGATGCTGGAGAAGATGTGGAGAAATAGGAACACTCTTACACAGTTGGTGAGAGTGTAAATTAATTCAGCCATTGTGGAAGACAGTGTGGCGATTTCTTAAGGATCTAGAAATAGAAATTCCATTTGACCCAGCAATCCCATTACTGGGTATATACCCAAAGAACTATAAATTGTCCTACTATAAAGACACATGCACACGTATGTCCATTGCAGCCCTGTGTACAATAGCAAAGACTTGGAACCAACCCAAATGCCCATCAATGATAGACTGGACAAAGAAAATGTGGTACATATACACCATGGAATACTATGCAGCCATGAAAAACAATGAGTTCATGTCCTTTGTAGGGACTTGGATGACTCTGGAAACCATCATTCTCAGCAAACTGACACAAGAACAGAAGGCCAAATACTGCATGCTCTCACTCATAGGCGGGTGTTTGAGCAATGAGAACACGTGGACTCACTAAGAGGAGCATCACACACTGGGGGCAGTTGGGAGGGTAGGGGAGGGACAGTGGGGTGAGGAGGGTGGGGAGGGATAACATGGGGAGAAATGCCGGATATAGTATGCACCTAAAGTAAAATGAAACTTAAAAAAAAAAAGCATTTTCAGGCAGGGCTCAAGGCGGCTCACACCTGTAGTCCTAGCACTTTGGGAGGCTGATGCGGGTGGATCACCTGAAGTCAGGAGTTCGACTTGGCCAACATAATGAAACCCTACTCCACTAAAAATACAAAAATTAGCTGGGCGTAGTAGTGCACACCTGTAATCCCAGCTACTTGGGAGGCTGAGGCAGGAGAATCGTTTGAACCTGGGAGGGGGTTCAAGTGCAGTGAGCTGAGATCGTGTCACTGCACTCCAACCTGGGCAATAGAGCCAGACTCCATTTCAAAAAAGAAAAAAGAAAAGAAAAAAGCATTTTTATAGTTAATGCTGTCTTTAAGTTGGGTTTCTAACAGTGTATGTGAAATGGAAGGCTAGAAAGAATAGGGTATTTTCCTGTTACTAAGGGATGGTCTGATACTTACGATTACTGTTCTCCAATTACAGACAGGCTCCTCTGTAGGCAACACTCCATAGCAGGTGGAATTTCCTTTGACATAAGCACGATGGTTGATTAAAGCCAGGTAATTTTTGTAATCTAATTTAAAAGCAGAGAAAGAAACTAAAAAAGTCAAAGTTTGTATCTGTGCACATAAATATGTATATATATATACATATATATATATGAACTTATAGACACAATTGCTCTTGTCTATGTTTTCTTGCCACTTTGCACGTCTCCTGTGGTGTTTATCGCATTATGCTGCTATTATGGATACTCTTATACATATCCCATTTGGAGTACATGCTCCTTGCAGGCTGAGACCCCATGATTTCTTTTTGTTGTTGTTTTTTTTGAGATGGAGTTTTGCTCCTGTTGTCAAGGCTGGAGTGCAGCAGCATGATCTCGGCTCACCGAAACCTCCTCCTCCTGGGTTCAAGTGATTCTCTTGCCTCAACCTCCCAAGTAGCTGGGATTACAGGCATGCACCACCACGCCAGGCTAATTTTTGTATTTTTAGTAGAGACGGGGTTTCTCTAGATGGAATTATAGGTATGATCCACTGTGCCTGGCCAGCATGATTTATTTTATCTTGGAATACTCTGCAATACCCTATGTAAACTTAATACATAACATATTTACATCCTATTTAGACTATGTAGTCCATAGGATAATGGGTGAGGAACGATAAAAATACTTATTCTTCCAAGTAGAATAATCTTGCTGGGTGGGTAGAAGGTCTATAAGATTAATTAGAATAATTTAGAAGCCGGCCGGGCATGGTGGCTCACACCTGTAATCCAAGCACTTTGGAGGCCAAGGCAGGCGGATCACCTGAGGTCAGGAGTTCAAGATCAGCCTGACCAACATGGTGAAACCACATCTTTAAAAAAAAAAAGAATCATTTAGAAGCCTTTTGTGAATAGTTAAAATGAACTATCGGCTGGGCTCGGAGGCTCACACCTGTAATCCCAACACTTTGGGAGGCCGAGTCAGGTGGATCATGAGGTCAAGAGTTTGAGGCTAGCCTGACCAACATGGTAAAACCCTGTCTCTACTAAAAATACAAAAATTAGCCAGGCATGATGGCACAAGCCTGTAATCCCAGTTACTCAGAAAGCTGAGGCAGGAAAATTGCTTGAACTTGGGAGACGGAGGTTGCTGTGAGCTGAGATCATGCCACTGCACTCCAGCCTGGGTGACAGAGCAAGACTCTGTCTCAAATAATAATAATAATAAGGAACTGTTAGATAAACAAATGTCAACCAGATATTTCTAATAGCAGGTAATTATATATCTTTGTATTCCTGTGTGGAATGTCATCCTCTATATTCTCTGCATTTTTATTATGTGAGACTTTAATTTTACTTAGGCTAGATACTCCTGGACATATTTTGGCTTTGCTGGAATTAACCCTGAATGCTTCAGGTAAAAATGATCTTCTTATTTTTGAGGCCAGAAGTTCCAGACCAGTCTGGATAACATAGTGAGACCCTATCTCTACAAAAAAAAAAAAATATTAGCCTGGTGTGGTG